GGAATCGAACCTGGGACCTTTCAGTCCGCAGGCCGACGCTCTATCCACTCAGCCAAACCGGTTTTGGCAAACCCCCTTATAATTTCAAAGCGAACAGATGAGAACTTTTCGTGTTGTTAGAGTGGGCGTTTCTATACCCTCTAGAACCAGCGGTTCTCAACCTGTGGGTCAAGACACCTTTGGGGGTTGAACGACCCTTTCACAGGGGTCGCCTAAGACCATTGGAAAACACATATATAATTACATATTGTTTTTGTGATTAATCACTATGCTTTAATTATGTTCAATTTGTAACAATGAAAATACATCCTGCATATCAGAAATTTACATTACGATTCATAACAGTAGCAAGATTACAGTTATGAAGTAGCAACGAAAATAATTTTATGGTTGGGGGTCACCACAACATGAGGACCTGTATTAAAGGGTCGCGGCATTAGGAAGGTTGAGAACCACTGGTCTAGACCTACATCCAAAGACTCAACTAGGTTGTAACTTGCCTTTCCATCCCCTTTCCAGTCCTTTGCCTTAATGCATCCGTGAACAGGCAGACAAGTCCTCCATTGTCCCGTGACATCTGTCCCTCCCGCTGTCACACGATTCTTTCGAGGGCCAGCTCTCTGATAGGCAGGTACCAGGCACTCAGGCGCTCAACAGTCACGCACGGCACCTGCAGTGGGCTGGGAGCTGTGGGGTGACGCAGTGAAGAGAGCAGAGCTCCTGCTGTCATGGGGTGCACATCTCCTACGTCCTTTGGTAGGAGACTAAACGAGTCAAGAAGTAAGTCAGCAAGAAAGCGACAGGCTGCAATGAGTAGTGTGAAGGAAGCGGACAGGCGATGTGGTGCAGAGTAGCTGAGCCTGGGCTGGGAGCTGCTTCAGACGGGGTCAGGGGTCACGGAAAGCTGGGGGAGGAGTTGACATCTGAGCCAAGATGAGGAGGTGCTGGTAGGAAGACCTGGAGAACGGAGAACGGGCACCCAGGCAAAAAGAGCCGGAAGAAGAAACGTTCTGATGCAGGAAAGATCTTGGCTTAGAGCAGCGATTTACAACCTTTTTCATCTCAGGGCACACATACACTAATCACTAAAATTCTGTGGCACACCAAAAATATATTATATTTTTGCCGATCTGACAAAGAAAAACACACACCAGGTATAATTTTGATTCATTCACACCTGATGGTTATTGTTGTGTTGGCTGTAGTCATTTAAAAATATATATATGTTTTATTGATTTTTAGAGAGAAAAGAAGGGAGAGGGAGAGATAGAAGCATTGATGAGAGGGAATCATTGATTGGCTGCTTCCTGCACAGCCCCCACTGGGGATCGAGCCCACAACCCGGGCATGTGCCCTGATCAGGAATCGAACTGGCCACCTCTTGGTTCATAGGTCATCAGACGGGGTCAGGGGTCACGGAAAGCTGGGGGAGGAGTTGACATCTGAGCCAAGATGAGGAGGTGCTGGTAGGAAGACCTGGAGAACGGAGAACGGGCACCCAGGCAAAAAGAGCCAGAAGAAGAAACGTCCTGATTCGGGAAAGATCTTGGCTTAGAGCAGCGATTTACAACCTTTTTCATCTCAGGGCACACATACACTAATCACTAAAATTCCGTGGCACACCAAAAATATGTTATATTTTTGCCGATCTGACAAAGAAAAACACACACCAGGTATAATTTTGATTCATTCACACCTGATGGTTATTGTTGTGTTGGCTGTAGTCATTTAAAAATATATATATGTTTTATTGATTTTTAGAGAGAAAAGAAGGGAGAGGGAGAGATAGAATTGATGAGAATTGATGAGAGGGAATCATTGATTGGCTGCTTCCTGCACAGCCCCCACTGGGGATCGAGCCCACAACCCGGGCATGTGCCCTGATCAGGAATCGAACTGGCCACCTCTTGGTTCATAGGTCAATGCTCAACCACTGAGCCACACCGGCTGGGCTGTAGTCATTTTTTTATTTGACAATCTAAGGGAAAAGTGGTCAGGGCCTGGGCCTAAACAGTTAGATATTGCATGTTTTAAATATTCTTCTGGCCTCCAGAGTGCCACAGCACCGTGGTTAGAAATCACTGGCTTAGAGGAGCCACAGGGAAGCACCAGGTGGGAACAGAATGGTGCTGGGGATGCCGGCCCCGGGGGAGGTTATGGTTAGGCACAGGCTCTGCTCTCAGGTACAGGTGAACAAGGGTTATGGGATCCCAGCAACTGGAGGGGTCTTAGTGGGTAAAACCTAAATACCCGCCATCCCCTGTGAAAGCTCAATGTCGACACATGGCCAACAAAAGCCCTTGGAAGCGGGCGGTTCCCCAGGATGTCCTTGAAAGGCATCAGGTTTCAGATTCCAGAATGTTCAGATGTGAGACCTCCTGGGACATCTCGAGCCAGTGGGGACTGACGCAGCAGGTCTATTGCCTGCTGATGACAGGAACAGTCCTTGCAGCGGGTCTGAGCCACCGCGGACTGTGAGCCTTAAACGTGCACCTGCCGGGGGCCCGGGGAGAACAACAGACCGTGAGAGGCAGCTTGGGTGGCTTTTAGGAGCCAACAGACGTGGCTTTACGTTCTTGCTCTGCTACCACATGACCTAGGCAATGACTTGAACTCTCCAGCCTCAGTTTCCTCATCTATAAAATGGGAATGATGGGAGGGAGGCATTAGGAACTAAGTAAGGTGGCACCTGCAGGGACGTCACAGTGAGTTAAGAATTTAGTCTCAGCAGAGACTGGCACCTTCCTGGTGTCCGGAGGGGAAGGAGGAAGAGGATGACACAGATTTGTGACCCACGTATTGCCTAAGCAATGGCTCATAGTCCTTTCTTCTTTGCTTCCCTTTCAGCTGATTTGAAAGAACATTCCTCACTTTCTGCTAAGCCTTGGACACAGTGGTATAAGAATGCTTTGACCCTCAGAGGTCATGCCCAGCTCAGCAGAGCATAACCCCAGAGATACCGAGAGACAGGACACCCGGCTCTCACCCCCAGTGCCCTCCCTGGCTGGGTGACGGTGGGAGCCGCTGACCAGCGCCGGGTCCTGTTCTGTCATCTTGGAAATGCAGCTCCACAGATGCTACCGGGGAAGCAGGCACTGCCTTGTGAGCACGTGCGAAGCTCCTTCCTAAGTCAGAGTTCCGTGTCGTGTAATTTACAGCCTTAGCCCAGGTCTGACTCTGGTGGGCACGCACCCAGCCCTCCCAGAATCTCAGAATATAGCCCCGTTCTCCAAGTACATTCGCTCATCATAAAATGAAGATGAACTTACCTATTCATGCATGATTCATAGCTTACCCACCGGATGGTCTTAAATCGGACCAGGGCTGAAGCCACTGGCTCCGGGGGGTGAGGGGGAGGGTGGGTGTTGCTGGGGAGTCAGCTCAGCCCTGCTTTCCGGCCACATGTGGGCTGTTTTAGTTAAGATCCCTCTGAATTGGATCCTAGGAGGAGGATTTGGTGAAAGTGACATATTATGGAAGTTTCTGGGCAGAACAGGCGGCAGGTGGAGAAGTGGGACAGGAGGGAAGAAGGTCAGATGAGGTGAGGTGTCAAGGTCCTGCAGCGGGTAACTCTGGTGCCAACCCTGGGGGTCCTAGAGGCAGCCTGAGTCCCACCAGGCCAGCTCTGGGGCAGGAACCCATGTGGTCACTCAGAGGCCCTGCGCTTGGTATAACGAATTCTTAGGGATGGTTGAGCCAGAGGCCTACATGTTCATTCTGCAAGCGAGCCGTGGAATCTGCCCCTCGGGGAAAGGGGTGCCGAGTATGTATCAGGCTCCCAGCACCTCCATAATGGGGCAGGGCTGTCAATTCCAGGGGCAGCCCCCCTCCTGTGCACACAGGGGCCCACAGGGGCATGGGCAGAGCCTGGAGGGCATCTGTTACACAATTCAAATCTCGACGGTGTCTGCACACAAAAATGGACACATATGCTCATAGGTTTGTGGGGGAACTGATTCAATTCAGCCCATAACCTGCTTTAAAAACAGATTGTGGAGATTGGTATTAATGAATTGTTTGGCAGGCTTCAACTTTTTAATTCCAAATGTGGAGGCAACACCTGAGTACCCATATTTCAAAAACAAGCCACTGTCCTGTCCCCTGCCCCCCTGCACGTCCCCATCCACGCACACAATACACATTCTCTTAGAAAATAGTCCAAGTCCCGCTTAAAGTGGAGATCGATGGCCTTGGTGTGTGTCATTTCTGAGCATCAGTGCATTTAAAGAATTCTTACTGTTTTCCTGTGTAGAACACGAGTGAGAAACAGCCGAGTGACTCGTGTAAACGGTGCATGAAGTGGGCATCCGTCACACTGCCTGGGAGGTCTGGACCTTCACGTTGATGGAAAAGGACAACTTTGCCCAAGAATGTCCAGTCAGGAGACATTTCAGAGAACGAGGTTATGTCTGTTCACTCCGGGCACAAGCCTCAGAGTGGAACGTATTCACACACTTCCTGGGGTCAAGCCAGGGGCCACCGTTCAGGTGACCCATGAAATGCCCAGTCTCCCACATGTCCTGAGGGGGGATCTTACTGGTCTGGAAGGGACCTGGGGCTGGGGTGGCTGTAGCTCCTGGCAGAGAGAGGGGTCTACAGGAGCAGGGCTCACCGGGGCTGAGCACCGTGGGTCTAAGGGACTGTCCGCTCAGGGCTGGCCACACACGGTGGAAGCAAACAATTACAGCCAGCAGAGACCTGAGTGTCAGAAATCTGAAAGGACTTGCCCAAAGTCACACAGCCAGTAAGTGCGGGGCCTGGAATCTGGGCCTGTCCTACCCACAGCTCAGACTCCAGAGCCCAGCTGCTCTGCTAGTTCTGGCCTATTGAGCGCATCCCTCCAGCCCCCGAGGCCCAGAGGGGGGCTGCTCGTGTGTGGTCCCACACAGGGCGCTGGGGACAGGGCTGAGCTCATCCCCACTTAGGGGCTGCCCATCAGATGGGGCGGAGCGAGCACAGACTGGTCAGTCTGGGTTCCAATCCTGAGCCAGCTGCTTACCTTCTCTGACCCTCGGTTTCCTCCTCTGTGAAATGGGTGTGATCAGAGTGGCTGCCTTTCAGAGCTGCTGGGGAGGATTGTGTGAGATGATGGATGGATGGTAAGTGCTCGATGGGCATGGTGATAATTCCTTATTATTATTATCTTGGCGCAAATTACAGGAAGGAAAAACACTTTTTTGGGGAGCCATTAATTGTCAAAGTCAGATGATGTCTCATACTTGGATCAGCCACCTGTATTCTTTTCTTTTTAAAAACTAATTTTTAAAAACATTTTATGTGAAACAATGGAACATTTATGAGACAGGCAAGGAAGCAAACAGGGAGTCCATCCCCCAAGGTGACACCTTGCGCAACCACAGGACAGTATCACACCAGGAAGCTGGCACCGGTACCGTCACAGAGCGTGTTCGGTTTCCTCAGTCCTGCAAAGGGAGCTGAGGGGTGAAGCAATTCTCCAAGGCCACCCAGCATGGAGCTGGCAGAGCAGGCCACTGGCACGCCAGGGCCCCATCTCCCATTGTCTCATGAACAGCAGGAGGCCGGTCCCACTGCTCCCAATCCCCAGTCTGGAGTTTTCTTTCCTGCCACACAAGACCTCCCATATTGAAGAGACCAAAGAAGCCGTGGCCACCACCTCTGAGGCTGTCTGAGGACTGTGTCCCAGCCGTAGTGGGCGGGGGCCCAGCCTTTGAGAGGACATAGTCCCCCCTAACAGGGCCCAGGAGCAGGGACACCAGGAAGACAGGAAATAGTGGGCAGGCCCCTGGGCTGCTTTGGCCCTGCCTCGGAGACAAAGGGCTTCTCTGAGGCCACTGAAAAGTGACTGGCCCCCCAGACTCTTGGCTAAAGGCAGGGCCTGCCTGGGGCCTCCCCCACGGAAGCAGCTTTTCTATAGGAAGGAACAATGACACAGCCTCTCTGTTCCTTGGGTAAAGGGACAATTACAGTCTTTCCTGGGGCCATTTTCATCTGAGCTGCCAGGATGAACTAACTGCCTGGTCCCAAGTCTTTTTCTAGGACATTCCCACACAGGTCAGCAAGGTAGTCTAAAGGGAAAGGGCGAAGATGAAAGTGCAGGATAAATCCTATCTTATAACCCCAGGGAAGGTCCCTTGCTTCCACCGGGAGGAGGTGAATAGGCCCTGGGTGGGAGGTGCCCAGCTCCCAAACAGACTCCTCCCTGCAGGCACCTGTCTGCCTGAAGTTCCACCCTCCTGTGTCAGCTGGGTGAGTGTTGAGGCTGCTGGACTGTGGACTCTTTTTCCCTGGAAGCACTGCTGTCGTCTAAGCCACTGGAGACAAAGATACCTGCTTTCCAGAGGAGACACACGGCATGTGGGCCATCACAGGCACCCTGGGAAGTGCTAGGGTAAAGCCATTCATGGGCCCTGGGCACCTAGTCAGGGTGAGAAGTCAGGGAGGGCTTCTCAGGGGAGGCGCTGTCTGAGCTAAGTTTCTGAGCATGAGTTTCCCAGTGGCTGCCATACAAATGACCATAACCTGGGTGGTTTAAAACAACAGGAACGAACTTACTCTCCCACAGCTCTGGAGGCCAGAGGTCTAAAATCAAGGTGTCACCAGGGTTAGCTCCTTCTGAGGGCTCAGGGGGAGAATCTGTCCATGCCTCTGTCCCAGCTCCCGGGTGGCTACCAGCAACCCATGGCATTGCTTGGTTTGTAGATGCATCACTCCAATTTCCACCACCATCTTCCCACGGCCTTTCCCTCTGTGTCTGTGTTCCAAATTCCCCTCTCCTTGCTTTCATAAGGATACTTATAGTTGGTTTTAGGGCCCATCCTAAATCCAGGATGATCTCACCTCAAGATCCTTAACTGAGACACATCTGCAAAGACCCAACTTCCAAATAAGGTCACACTCACAGGTTCTGGGCTCTGAGATTTAGAATGTGGACATACCCTTTGGGAGACACAAATCAATCCACAACAGGGAGCCAGTTAGCTAAGTTAGATGGTGTGAGAAGAGGAAGGGCATCCCAGGCAGAGGGCACAGTATGTGCAAAGGCACAGACCAGAGAAGTTCAAGGAACTAAATGCAAGTAGTTGAGCATGGCTGGACAAAGGGGCCACTCTGGGAGTAGGGACATAAAGGGTAGAAAGTTAAGCAGGTGCCAGCCAACTCACATCTTGAGTTTGAACTTGACCCTAAAACCAATATGGAAACACTGAAGAGTTTACCTGGGTTGTTATCTGGTTCTCCCCACATCCCTGAGAGGCCAGTATTGTGATCCAGATCAAGACTCTCAGGCTCAGAGAGGTAACTCTTTGCCCAAGAGCAGACCATTAGGAAAAAGTCAGAGGCAGGATTTGAACCAAGGCCACTTCTAACTTCTTAGTGGACAGATGAATGCAGCAGGTTTTGTGTACCTGAGGAAGATAGGAAATGGTATATCTAGGAAGGAGGGAGGGAACATCCTTGGAATCTTGCTGAGACCATGTGCCAGCTCACTGCCCCATCTGAGTATGGCTTCCTAATACTGGGCCTGGGAGTCCCAGTTGGTGCTCTGAGAACCACCTCCAAAGTTGATTGGTCCAGAAACAGACACCTGCCTCAAGCTAGGCCAATCAGAATCCCCACTCCCCCAGGAATGTGCTACCGAGTCTTTTTGACTTGAGAAATTAATGTGATAGGGGACTAGGACACCCTTCAAATCCTGCTCTGACTCTTATTTCAAATGTGTGGTTTCAGGCAGTTTCTTGAAACCTCAATGCTTCAGTTTCCTTCTCTGGAATTTGAAATGATGAAAAGAGCTACCACAGCTACCGTGGGATGACATGAAATCCTGGTGGTGAAGCCTTGTGCCTAAGCTGCAAGGGTGGGGAACGTTCGGCCCGAGGGCTGTATAAGGCCCGAAAAATCATTTGGTCTGGGGTGAGTTAATTAAATGTTTGACCAAATATAGCAGGCTAATTTTTAAATTGGTAATTTTGTATGGCCCGTGAATGATGTTATAAACATCCAAATGACCCCTGGCAGGAAAACGGTTCCCCACCCCTGGTAAGGCCTGGCACACAGGAAGTGCTGGGCAGACATTAGCAGGCTCTGCTGGTTGAATGAACAGAAGTGATGGACTCAAACTGTGTGGAGGCTACTTCCTGCTGTGTATCTGAAGAAGAAGGAGGAGGAGGGGAAGGAGGAGGAGGAGAGGAGGAGAAAGAGTGAGAGGAAGAAAGAAAGAGAGAGGGGGGAAAGAGAGAGAGAGAGAGAGAGAGAGAGAGAGAGAGAGAGAGAAGCCACTGGGGCTCTTGA